GTAGTTAACCTACAACTCCTTCCAAGGTTTCTAAGCATAGGTGCCATTAGGCACCCTTAGGTATCTTGCCTGGCCCCCAGGTGCTGCTCCAGAAGGATAAGAGGTCTCTTGTGAACTCTCTGTTTTAATCTGCCACTCCCCTATGGCTAGATCAGGTATCCTGTTTTTCCCTCATCTGGACACACAAGCACCCCCTCACTGCCTTCCAGAAATGGTTAATCAGTCTAGAATCAATCTGGGGCAATGCACGTGTATGATGGTAAGGGATCTATCTGGCAGAGGCTATTGAGTGTCTGCAGCTGCCTTGCCCAGCCCTCCCTCCCATCTGCACTGTTCCCAGCAGAGTCCTGAAACGGAAAAGAAAGGGTGGAGTGGAAAAGTGTAAGGATAACAGGAACTAAGGAAAGAGAAACAGGAAGAAGGGAAGGGAAAGGGAAAGGAAAAAAAAGAAAAGGAAAAGGAAGGAAAATGAGAAGGGAAAGGGAAAGGGAAAGGGAAAGGGAAAGGGAAAGGGAAAGGGAAAGGGAAAGGGAAAGAAGCCTTTGGCTTATTTAAAGTCTGCAAGGGAGGAAAGAAAGATCCTGAGTGTGTGAGAGCAAGGGATTGTGTGAACATATATTCACTGCTGAGAGCATTTGCCAGCATATGCATCTGTCCATCTCTCTTTGCCTGATGTCTCCACAGAAAACTTCACATCAGGATTTCTCATACACTTTATTGCTGACAGTAAAAAAAAGGAATGAAGACTGGTTAGCCCATTTCCAGCCTCTCCATGCACTGTAACTGCATGGAGCCACAGACATTACAAAGCCAGCAGTGCCACTCCCATGTCCTGGTTTATGTCTGATTTTCCAGTGTGAACGTTTCCTTAGTTATCAGGAGCTCAAGAAACTGAGCTAGTGTGAGTGTCTTTATCATGCTAACAGTTGATTCGTATTTTCTTCCCAATCTGCTCAAGAATCTCCATGACATTACAAAAATCTCTTTTTATTGCCTGGCTAGAATTTAGCCTGGATGCTTGAGCCATATGAATAGTAATTGCTTGGAATTACTCTAAAAATAGATCATAAATAGGCATTATTGGGTCTTTCTGTACTTAAACATGTTCCAACACTGAAGGACACTCAGCTAAAACCTACAAATCTCCCATAGTTTTTGTTTATTTAGAGCTAGTTCTCCAAAATACTACAAATCCAAAGCTGAATGTCTAACAGCAATATGTTATGACATAAAAAAAAAGGAAGCACTGCTTTTTACAGTTATAGAAGTTGTTTTGTTAAGTCTGCTCCACAATTTAAGACAAAAAAAAAAAAAGCCAAATCTTCGTGAAAGGGAACATTTCAGTTTGTGCAGCCACAGACCAGTTCACACAGCAGTTGTGAAGTGGGTAACAAACACCAACACTACAGCAGTGATGGTGGCATTGGGGTAATTGCATTGGCCACGTCATCCTACTCCAACTTGAAGTGCAGAGTCATGCACTATAGTACTTATTAATAAACATTTCTGCTATATAGATGAAGTGCTGAGGTTAAACCCCCAGCCCTGAATGAGGGTTGGTGTATAGATGATGTCCACAACCAGGCAAGAAAGACCCTCCTGATTGGTTTTTCCCCAGGGTCTGGCCAGCCTTGGGTGGGAACTGATTAGGAGATCACCACCAGGTGCCCCCACCTTCCACATTAACTTGGAGGTGGAGCAAGGAGTCACCCCTATAAGAGCCGAGTCTGCTTGCAAGGGGGTTGGGGTTTTTTATTCAGTAGATGTATTGTGTGAGGGCTCTGGCTATTGGAAGGGCTCTCTGACTCTTCATAGCAAGTGGAGTTCCCAGGATGGCAGGGCAAGATTGTGAGCCACTCTGGGAAACTACTATATGATTGGCTTAATTGCCTGGCTGATTCCACCTCCCATGGCATGGTTCCTGAGTCAGCTTGCTCCTTTCTTCAC